TGTTAGGCGTAGGCTTATCTCTATTTAGGAGTTGAGATAAAATTCTCCGTGCACAAAGTGCACGGATTAAAAGTTAGGAATTGTGTCTTTTCTCAGAGTAAAGACGGACTGGAAAATGGAAGAGGAAGAATTTTATATTCTATCTCCCGGCACTGAAGAGGAAGAATTTTATATTCTATCTACAGTTGGAAAGGAAACTCAAGGTGGGATCTCCACCCCCAGAATCCGAAATGATGAAACTAAGAGTGGGATCTCCACTCCGAGAATCGGAAAGATTCAAACGACCCTAACTTTTATAGGATTGGTCATTCGATCCAAAAAGAGTCCCTCATTTATTAAGGAGAAAGCCCAATTTCGACCCTAACTTTTATAGGTTTGGTGGAAAAAGGAACAAAGGCAGACTTTCGTTTATCGAAAAGGAATGACTTGGTCTTAGTCCTAACTATCTGTAGGTTTGACTAAGTGAGATTGGGAACAATCCTAACTTTTATAGGTTTGATTGTTCGAATTGAAAGTGGACCTCTCGTTCATGGAAGGAATCGAGAGAGGAATTTGGCTTTGGCCCTAACTTTTATAGGTTTGACCTGAAAGCAAAGAGAGTGGAATACAGGTAGCAATGAAAATGTCAACTCGTACTATCACTCAAAGGAGTACTTCAATGCTAAGTGATTAGGACCTAACATGTTGAGTCTGAGAATTGCCAATGACTGGCGGATAGAAATTTTGGTGAATCCACCATCGATTAATTTGATCAGCAGATGGTTTGGTGAGGAAAGATTAACCTGTCAAAGGATTGGATCTCGTCTCACAAAAATAACTCATGAGAGTTAGAGAATTTGACAATAATAAGAGGAAACATTCCGACATTCAGAGTTTAAATGTGGATCTCTTATTTATCACTTTTACAGTGATTGGGTTATCCCTAAGAATACCACATGTGGTATTCTTCCGGGAACTTCCCGATACATACAAAGAAAACAGTTTATACTTATATACCCGTTGGAGCTTTGAAAGAAGCAGTTTATACTCGTATACTTTTCGGAGTGTGGCGGTCGTTCTCATTCGGTTTGTTCTGCCATTGAGACGCCGGCTTCAACTAAGGCCTGTATTGTGTTTTTGAGAGTGATACAAGTCTTGGTGGAATGATGGATCCTCCTGTGGTATTCACAATATTTTGGGTCTGAACTCCCGTTGGATTCCTCCTGGCTTTTAATAGGTGGGAGCTTGATTTTGTCGTTTTTAGGAGGTACTTGAGGATGGCTGGAACCTCATCATCCTTGAAAGAGTATCGTTGTATCTGAAGCGACTGTTGTGGCGATCACTCCCATGGCTGTCGTTGTGACGTTTGATCAACAGCGAACCCGGGTACAAATTCTGATTGACTTTCCTCAACTCTCTTTCTTTTAGGATAGCGTCTAGTCGAGGTGGTGACAGACTCGACTTCTTTCTGCTTTTCATCTTCATTTTCATTTCTCTTCGAGTGATGTCGAGAAGTAGGAATTGGTCCACCCCCAGTGTCATTGAAGGATCTTATCGTACCACCCCCAGTGTTATTAAGGGGTGAATCAGTCTTGATGACCATATTCAGATTCGGACTATTGTTATTTGTCCTATTTGGAATAGACGTGATTGGTGAAGCGCAACAGCTAGACCCAGCCTGATGATCAGATTTAGGAAATTTACACCTTTCAGCTTGCAACTCTCTTATTTGTCGCATAGCCAATTCCATCTTACCCTCAAATTCTTCTTTCTGCTTGATTAACGCTTCTTGAACTATTTGAGTGAGCTGGTCAGGAGTAATGGTGAACGCATCTCTAGTGTTTTTAGAAAGACGTGATAACTCGTGTAGAGTTACTTTCACTGGGATGTTAGCCAATTGGGTCATAACATCGAAGTGGTATGAAGCCCTTGAATTTTCCGGTCTGTCTCTTCCAAACTGTTGATTGAATTGAGACTGCCTCGGGTTTTGAACACCTTGGTGGCAGGGGCTCCTGTTGGGTCTTCTCAGCAGGTGCGGGGGTAGTTGTAATCATCTCCACCCCAGCCAGTCGATCAGAAACACTTGGATATTTGAAACGATACTCGTTCCCATTTCTGGTGGTGAGGACTGGTTCTTCGGTGGTTACTAGAGTTGCATGTTCATTATCAAAAAATGAGAAAGTAGGGATTGTTTCCTCGTCTTCCTCTGGGATGGCCGAGGCTCCGCAACAGGACTTTCCTTTTCTCTTTGACTTCTTAGAAGAGGATCCGGTCCACTGTTCATCTCTAATCAGACCGGGGTGAACCCAAAGAATCTCGCCATTTGGGGTTGTGTGTGGCACAAGTCCTTTCTGGCGTTGCTTGTAAGGATCGTCGTTGACGGTCTTCATTGCCACATTTATCACGGGCTCAGGCTCAAACCAATTCAAAGGAACAGACCCAAAGCTGATTGAAACTGCATTTGCACCCACATTCTTTTCCTTAGGTTGCTTCATAGTGATGACCCCAACATCAATCAAAGCTTGGATCTTGTCTTTTAGGGCGTAACACGACTTGGTGGGGTGGTGCACCGCTCTGTGGAATGCGTAGTATTTCGGATCATTAACCCTTTTGGCGTCTTCCTGATCTTGGATCGGAGGCAACTTAATCTTGTTGTTTTCCACGAGGTATTTGAAAATACCGGGGACTTCATCTTCTTTGAATGAGTAGACCTTCAGGAATTTTGGTTCCGAAGTCTTCTGTTTCTGAGGCTGTTGTTGCCACCGTGACTGCTGCTGTTGTGGTTGCGATTGCACTTTGAATGTTTGGTTCGCGTCCACTACATTCACTTGCGCTTTCCCTTTTCCCTTAGAAACAAAATTCTGTTGCGGGGCTGGTGCCGTCGTTTGACCTCTTTCGGCCTTTTTCCTTTTGAGGAAACGTTCGGCTCTTTCCCCTCGGACCTTCAAATCTTTCCAGGTCTTCGACGGTGCCATTCCCATGGCTTCGAGAATATCCAATGAAAGATTATTGTGACAAGTCTCTAGGATGAAGTCTTCGTTAATCGGATCCCTACAATTCATAGCTTTGTTCCGGAATCGTTTGATGAAATTCTCCACTAACTCTCCGTCCTTTTGCTTCTCATCAAATAATGTCCCGATCGAGACCTCAGTGTCGTCGTCGAAGAAATTTGTGAGGAACATGTCCTCCATGTCATCCCAACTGCTGATACTCCCCGGCTTAAGGCGGTGATACCAATCGAAGGCTGCTCCGCGAAGAGTGCCAACGAATGACCGCACCATTAAGGGTTCATTCCCGGAGATTATTTCTAAACAGTGTTGTAAATAGCGGCAAATAGCGGGGCAATAGCGGGGCTATAGCGGATCGCGGCCCCTCAGCACTACGCGTAGGGGGTTCGTGGCGGGATTTAGCGAAAAAACCGCGAAGCGCTCGAATAGCGCGCAAAAGCGCTCAAAAGCGGCTGAAAGCGCTCAAAAGCGGCGAAAACCCGCTAAACCCGAAACCCGCTATCAAACGCTGTCAAATTTTTCGCCCCCCAACCCGAACCCGAACCTGAACCCGACTCGTTAAAAGGGGAAAAAAATCGGCCACGACGAATTTTCGTCTTCTCCGCAGCTCCAAAGTCCGAACCCTAGCCGCCTCCTTCGTCTTCCAAGCCACGACGAATTTTCGTCTTCTCCGCAGCTCCAAAGTCCGAACCCTAGCCGCCTCCTTCGTCTTCCAAGCAGCTCCGAACCCTAGCTGCTCCAACTTCCAAGCTCCAGCTTCCAAGCTCCAGCTTCCAAGCTCCGAACCCTAGCCGCTCCAACTTCCAAGCTCCAGCTTCCAAGCATCTCCGAACCCTAGCCGTTCCGAAGTCCGAACCCTAGCCGCTCCAGTTTCCAGCGAACAGATCCGCTCCAACTTCCAAGCTCCAGCGAACAGCTCCCCTCCAAGCTCCAGCTCCAGTGCTCCAGCCTCCTTCTGCCGCTCCAAGCTCCAGCTCTGTTGGCTAGTTTTGCAACAGAGGAAAAGGTGTAAATCTCCTCTAAACCTTCTTTTTTATCCAATTTTATCTTTTTTTAACCAATTTCTGTCTTCCCTTTCAATGAACTACAATTTCTGTTTATTAATATGAGTTCCTAAATGAACACTGTTCTCTGTTGTTTAGCTCTATTGTGGGGTTCTTTTGTTCTCTGTTGTGGGTTATTTGGAAATAGCTCTGCTAGATATTTTTTGTGCTATACAATTGATAATGCAGCATGCTTTGGGATAAAATATGTGTGAACGGCTTATCAATTAAAAAACAATTAGTGTGGTTTTGATGTAAACCATTTCTCAAAAGTTTGAGTTTATTTTATTGCTAATAGATAGCACAAATATCATATAGGATTGCATGATTTGCAGGAGATAGTTGTCTTGCATGAGTATGACCTGAGAAATCCCAGTGCCTCTTCTGCCCACTCACATTTCTCTAAAGATAGCTTCTAGCACTTAGCTATATTTCTTGAATTTCTTCATAATTTCATTCGTACAACAAATGTTATTTACTGATAATACAAAAAATTTACAACTAATTAATATGTATGCGATGAACGACTTGATCTTCATAATCATTAGCTGCAAAGGAGAGATCAGTGCCCTTGAGATTTCTAACTTCCAGAAAACCTGTATAATCAACATTTGAAATCAATCAAATCATTATAAATTTATAACTTATTGAGTTATCAAATGAATGAAGAAATATAGCATGTTTATTTATTGTATGAATAAAAAATTGAAGAAATAATACAAGAAATGAAATCTCACACTGTAATTTGTTTATTTTTGGTACTTATCTTGAATGAATGAAGAAATATAGCAAGTTTAATTTATTGTATGAACCTTTACAACAATGATGTTTATTTCTTGTACTTATATTGTTTTTTGTTCTTGTTCATTGAATAGGTATAATTTCAGCCATTATATGGAATTGTCCTCTACAGCTTCTAATCCATTGATGAGTTCTCAAAATCGAGAGTCGTTTCAGCCATTATATGGAATTGTCCTCTACAGCTTCTAATCCATTGATGAGTTCTCAAAATCGAGAGTCGGGTAGCACCCAGGGCCGACCAAATGTAGCTGCCGAGGCTCAAGATTCGGTTCAACGCCCACATCCACGCCCTTCAGATGATATTGGATGGGATTGGGCAATTTATCCAGAATGGCCAAAGAAGAATAAGATCAAGTGCACTCTGTGTGGACATGAAACCACCGGTGGCATTTGCCGCCAAAAAGAGCACTTAGCTGGTAGCCGAGGGAATACAAAACCATGCAAGAAAGTGACACCTGACATTATTGCGAGGGTAAAAGCAGCAATGGCTGAAACTAAGGGTAAGAAGTCAGACAAGATAAGATTTGAGATTGAGCGTAGGCAGGATGTCGACATTTCTAATTCTAGAATTGAGAATGCGGAAGAGATCACTAAGATTGGAAACAAGAGGCCCCATGAATTTGGAGCTATCCATCGATATGCTACATTCTTACCAGAGGAGCCTACATCATCTTCAACTATGAAGCAAACAACAGTTGATGCAGCTGAGCGCAAAAGAAGAAAGGAGTTGGTCCACGAATGGGTCTCTCTTTGGACCTATGAATCAGGAATTCCATTTCATGCATTGATGCTTCCTTCTTTCAACAATATGTGTGAAGCTATTGGTCAGTTTGGTCCAGGTTATGTGGGACCAACGATGTATCAGTTGAGGGAGCCTTTGTTGAAGAAGGCAGTATCACGTACTTCAGTTGGTTTGGAGCCACATAAGAAGCTTTGGGAGACTACCGGTTGCACATTGATGACAGATTCGTGGACTGATCGAAAACACAGATGTGTTATGAACATGTGCATTCATTCTAGTGCCGGAGTTATTTTCTACAACTCGATAGAGGAGTCTGCTGAATCTCATACCGGAGATTTTATTTATAAGTGGGTTGATCAGTGCATCCAGGAGATAGGGGCAGACTATGTTGTACAAGTTGTCACTGATAATCACTCGGCGAATATGGCTGCAAAGGAAGCTAAAAATTAAGAGACCGAGAATCTTTTGGACTTCTTGTGTGGCGCACACAACCAATCTCATGTTGCAGGATATTGGAAAATTGACAAAATTTAAGAATATAATTGAGAAGGCTCGGGCTTTGACTGTTTTTATCTATGGCCACACCAGGACTTTGGCACTTATGCGTAAGTGCACGAGGAGGAAGGATATTGTCAGGCCGGGCACCACTAGATTTGCCACCTCATTCCTCACATTAGGGAGTCTATTGGAGAAGAAGGATGCATTGATGGCTATGTTTAACTCGGATGAGTTTACGAGTTTGAAATTTGTTGGGGCTGCAAAGAAGAAAGCTCTTACAGCAAATGCTACGGTGATATCGAGAACCTTCTGGAGAGGTGTGAGGAGTTGCTTGAAGGTCTTCACGCCTCTTTTCAAATTTCTACGCATGGTTGATTCAGGTACTTGTCCCTCAATGGGATTTATTATTGGAGAGCTTAATCAAGTGAAGAGGGAAATCATGACTGCTTTGAAGACAGAGAAGGACTATATGCCTATCATATCCATTATAGAAAGACATGCTAAGAATAGGCTTGATAGTTCTCTTCACCTAGCTGCATGGTTCCTAAATCCTCTTTTCTATTATGCGGAGGATGAGGTGGCTAAGAAGAGTGCAGAAGCTAAGCAAGCAGTTCTTGATTGTGCTGAGCTATTTTTTAGAAATGAAGATACTATTGATGAGGCTGTTGTTGATGCTATCTACTCTACTGAGTTGTTGAAGTATAGGGATTGTGATGCTTTCATCCATGGAAAGCCAAGAGCACAGAGAGTAGTCAAGAGAATTGCTGAGGACCGTAATCCAGGTATTAACTTATATACATAAATTTGATATATATATATATTTTATTTTATTTGGTAGTTTTGAGATTGAATCAAAATATAAAATCAATCAATTGATTAATTTGCTTTACTCTCTTGAATCAGCTCATTGGTGGGACACATTTGGTGGAGACATGCCTTACATGCAAATGATGGCTCTTCGGATATTGAGATTGACAGGTAGCTCCTCTGGATGTGAAAGAAATTGGAGTTGTTTTGAAGGGGTAATCACTCACTACATTGTTTTAATTTTCATATTCAATTGTTCATATTCAAAAAATGATAATTGATAATTCGAAAGAAATGATATTTTTATGTTTGAATGCAGATCCACACAAAGAAAAGAAATAGGCTCGATAGCAAGAGATTGAGCGATCTAGTCTATGTGCAATTCAATTTGAGGATCAGAACTAAGATGGATACAACAAGAAAGGATGGAAAGAAGAGGGACATCCTACTTGCTAAAGACGGTCGGCACGCTTCTGCATGGGTGGTGGATGGATATAACTCCGAGGAGGAAGAGGATTATTATCCAGGGACCGATATTCCACTAGGAGTTATCTCCGAAGCAGCTGGAACAGATGAGTTCTTGCAGCCGAGGAGGACCACAAGGAGGGCGAATATGGCTTCTAGTTCAAGGGCCAACGAAGAGGTAGATTCGGAGGACGAAGAGGAGGGAAGAAATGATGAATCAGACTCAGATGAGGAGGATATCCAACTTGATGATGATGATAGCGACGAGGATGCTTTGAGAGATGAGATTTTGCTACTTGGCACTGCTGCTGATGATGATGATGATGAGTGATGATGAGTCATTGCTCAAATTCAGACTTTAGTCACTTCACTTTTGAGACTTCTAGCTTTTATTTAGCTTTGATTTAGACTTTTGAGTGTTAAGTTTGGAGTTTGGACATTTCATGTGTTTGGAGTTTGATCTTTATTGCTTGCCTAGTATCCATAGACTGTTATTATCTATCATGATTCATGATATTATCTTGCTTTGCTCATTTAGTCATTTATCTATACTTGAATATGTTATTTTTAGGTCAACTTTCTAGTAGTTAATATGTTGATGATGATACTAATCAATGATTTTTTTTTATTGTTGAGCATTTTTATATTAGAGACTTGAAAGTTGAAGAAGGACAACTAACAGTCTTTTGGATAAATAGGTACGTTTTTTCATTCTTTAATCTTTATAATTATAGTATGTTGTTAATATTATGTAATTATCACACATCTATTTCATGTATAGGCATCATGTATGCATTTATAGGATTTTTAGATTTTTATATGATTTTTCTTATTATTTAGAATATTTAAATATATTAATATTTGACCGCTATTTGACTGTGCGCTATTTGCCGCTATTTTGCCGCAATAGCCCGCAATAGCCTAAGCGGTACCTCGCCGCGACGCGACGCGATCCGCTATCAACAACCTTGTTCCTAAATAGGACTTAAAATATATCAAGTGTTGGGTTGGGGAACCCTTCCCATCAAACGGTGTAAAATTGATCAAGTTGAATTTCGCCGGGTATGGAATTGATTCCCATTCCCTTGGATATGGACATGGTATCCCAGACCTTTTCACTTCTTGAGCACTCATCAATGCGTTAATCTTGCTTTCCAAGTCCCTCATTTTCTTGTCCTCACTCATATCTGTTTTCGAGTGAGTTCGGGGAGAAGTAACGTGGTCCTCTTTCGCATTATTATCATCCGAGGGAACACCCCCATTATTGTTGTTGATGGGAGGGGTGTTCATGTTGACATTATCCTCTTCCCGCTCGTTATCATCTTGATTCGGATTATTGCGACGACTAGACTCCCCTGGGTGAGTTGTTAGTGCCGCGATTTGCTGGTCATGCATTTCTCTCATCTGCTGCATGGCCATCTCCATTTCAAACTTGAAATTTTCCTTCTGCTTAGTCAAAGCGTCCTCTAGCAACTTAGCCACCTGTTCGGCGCTAATCATAAGTGACTCGTAGGGCTGTCCTGCACTTGAAGCGGTGTCATCGGAAGCCATTGCTGAGCAAGCATCCGAGCCGGCATCCGAGCAAACCTCCGAAGTTTCATCTTCTGAGGGAAGTCCCTTCTGTATTCTTTGGTAGTTCTTTCGTCTACTGGTCCCTGATCGCAATTGAGTCATACGTTGGGACACCTCGGTGAACTGATCCGGACTAAAGCGTCGCGTTGACTTTCCTCTTCCGGTCATGTTGACGGACACTTTTGGAAATTCATCCTCCTGAAGAGTAGGTTTCCTTCTACGGAAGTGTCTTGGTCTAGCATCGGATGTTCTGGTGGAGATTCTCTCAAACACAGAAACTCTTCTTGGGGCTTTAGAACAGTAGCATTCTGATAACACTGCCTTGATTATGTTGGCACACGGACAACGAGAATCCGTGTCTCGAATGTTTCTCTTTCGAGACTTATCCGTACCCCCGGACCTATAGTACAACTCGTCAGTTTGATAACTGGAGCAACCCATAGAGTGTTGGCACGACTTCCCAGGTATAACACTATCGTCATCAGACGAATATGTTTCCCTCTGGGGATATGACGCTTTATTAGCGTCTTCAAAAGTTGCTCGTCCAAGTTTACGCTTTTGCGAGCGTGAAAACCTAACGGGCTCTTGAACTTCTACCCGCAATCTAATGCGGTCGGTAACAGAGGCTTTCCCTTTGTTATCTTACTTAGGGGGATTGGTTCGACCCCTAGTCTGGTTTGTTGCTTGGGGACCTTTCAACGGTCCCAATCGCTCCTTGACAGGTGCTTTACCTCGATCTTTCGGTAACGGACCAAGTCGACCTTTCAAAGGAACTCTGGATCTTACAGGACCCACGTTCTTACCCGGCTCCGCCGGAGGTGCGGGGACAGGGGAGACGGGATCTGAATTTGAAGAAGGTTGGACAGTAACTCCGTCCATTTTTGTCTTAGGTACTGGTTTTGTCTTTGGCACCCAAACCTGCTTATGTCTAGGTGGCTTCTTGACCGTCTCTTTTTTCTGCATTTCTTCCGCTTTCTGCAGAAGGACTCGGGCATGCGCGAGTAATGCGCGGCGTTTCTTGATTCGCTCCTCGAGAGTAGAGCGATTCTTCTTGATGCGGACCCATTCGTTTGTCTCCGCCTTAGAAGAGAGATTGGCGGTTCACCGTTGCTGTTCTTGGCGCTGCCTTGATTTCAGATCCTCCGTATAGCGGATCCCGTCCATCGACTCTGCGGCCTTGGCCAATTGTCGCGCAAGGCGTTGACGCCGTCTTTGGCGCGCCCTCTTCGACAAAGCTGGAGCACCTTCAGCAGTTACCTTCACGGCGGAGGGGAGGTCCGGATCTGCAGCTTTGACCTCTTTGGATGCTGCAGGGACGCCACGGGGCACGGGTGCAGCAGCGGCGAGGGGATCTTGGATCTTCAATCCTGAGGCCCCGCGAGCGTTCTTGGAAGAGGAGGTCTTCCTACGCCTGTTTGGAGAGGCGGATCTGGAGGAGGAGGAAGAGAGGTACTCTTCAAACTTCTGTTGATCGAACTCGTATTCGATCTCTTCGTTCACGCGGATCTTGAAGGCCGGTTGGAGGCTGTTGGCTCCCACTGTGGTCGCCAGTTTGTTTTTGGTAAAAGTTGCCTTCATTGTTGAATTCATTATAATCTGGATTGCTTACAAAGAATTCAGATATTCAATAAAAAGAATAAGAAAAATGAAAGATTACAACTTTTCGAAAATAACACAAGATTCGTTCGTCGTTTCTTGCTTGCGTGGGTCTTTAGCCGGTGACAGGAACGTTGATATCCGTGGACTACCTGACAATCAGATCAGGTCCAGAACTCCGTCGATTCGCGAAGGAATCTAGAAGCAGAAGCGCCTATCTCGACAACAGCGAGATAATTGCTCTTCTTAGAATTACCACAATGGGATAATACTAAGGATTGGATACGGGTGATGCAGATCTGACGATTCTCGATCTCTTGCGTTGAAGAATTCGATCACTCTTCAGTCCGGTAGGGCTTCGCCAATTCTCTAAAACTCCAGATCTGAAAAAATGAGGCCCCGGGGTCCGTATTTATAGGCACGGGACAAATCTGAGTTGGAGACACCCTCTGGTGTCTCAACCAGCGCCGAGACACCCTAGGGTGTCTCAGTTTAGCCTGAGACCCTCGTTTATGCCTGTTTGATTGTTTCCGTCGTAAATTCTTCGTCCGAACTCGGATTTAAGTGATTCAAAGTGCGTTGGAAAGCCGACAGGGAGTTCTATAAGATCCAATGATTAAATCATCTGTGGAATAAATGAGACATGAAGGGTATTTTGCCGTTTGTGAACGGTACGAGGTTCCCGATCGGTTCATATCTTCATCATTCCGAAGTTCCATTGTTTCACGTAGTTTGTCGGTTTACTCCAAGCGTTCACCGACATCGATCAAGCTTCTGTGAACTAGATGGTGACGTTCATCGTCATTTCTTAACACTGAGCTGTTTGTGGAGACCTATAGGCAATTTTCGATGCCTACAGTGATGATTCAGGGATTGGTCACCAATCAGCAGCACTTGGTGGGACAGCTACACCGGGAGCCTCAGCACTAGCCTCCCCCTCATGCAGAGTTTGGAGTTAGAGAGTTTCGATTTATGCGGCCTCCTTCCTTTTCTGGTGCCGAGGGACCTTTAGCAGCAGAGGAGTTTCTCAAGGTCACTGAGACTATTCTCACGGTGACCCACATCCCCCTTGCTGAATGGGTGGACCTCATGGATATTCAGCTCACCGACACCGTTCGGATTTGGTGGACTGCAGAGAAGACTCATCTGTAGAGGCCCATCTTGTGGGAGACATTCACCGAGCGCTTCAATAGGAAATACTTTCCCCAGTCAGCTCGAGATGAACTCCTACGAAGATTTGTTGAGCTCAAGCAAGGAGGGTGAACAATTGATGAGTACGAGGCTGAGTTTTCTTCTTTGAGCCGATATGCTACCCACTTGGTTACAGACCCTACGATTAGGAGGCATCAGTTCCAGAAGGGTCTGGACAAGTACATTAGGATGGCTCTGGCAGGTAGAGCTTTGGCGACCCATGATGCGGTACTGGATGCAGCACGCGAGATTGAGAGCGTGCATAAGGAACCTGAAGACTCTCACGTGATTCAGAGTAGGACACCAGCAGCTCTGGCCCGGAATGTCGAGCGTCCCCCTCCGAGACAGCAGCAGCAGGCTCCGCAGAGACAGCAGCATTCCCAGTGTCAGCCATCTCATTAGGCTCACCCTTATCAGCGTCCTGGTGTGCAGACTCACGGCCAGCCATCGGTGAAGTGTACTCATTGTGGCTACACTGGGCACACCCAGCAGGAGTGCCGTAGGCGTCTTCGTCTGTGTTACGCCTGTGGATCCCCCGATCATGTCAGTTGGAACTGTCCGCAGCGGCAGCAGACCAGTTTACCACCACCTCCACCACCTCAACCAGCCCTAGCAGCACCGCCTCAGCCCAGACCCTATCCTCGAGCAGGGCCACTTCCCCCACAGCAGCAGGTATATCAGGAAGCACACAGGTAGCAACCTCGGCGACAGATGTTCATGATGTCAGCCGTAGAAGCTGAGGCGAACGACCAAGTTATCACTGGTAAGAATGGTTTATTCTAAGTTTTATTTGCATATGAACTTCTTTAATTAGCATTAGTAGATAATATCATGGTAGGATTGTTTATGAATACTAAGTTAGTTGCATTTACATCCTCCTATAATAGGCAAGGTTCTTGTTTCTTCTGTACCTGCTTTATCGCTCTTTGATTCTGGAGCCTCCCATTGTTTCTTATCTCGTCGATTTGCGAGTGTCCATTCTCTTCCTATAACTCCTTTGACTACGGGCTAGAATATCTACACTGGCAGTGGTGTCTTAGTAGCATCCAGTGGTTATGAAGCATGCCCTGTGGTCATCTGCGGGAGGGAACTCTTCGCAGATTTTCTGGTGATAGATTTACCGAGTTTTGATGCAGTTTTTA